TATTTCCAATTAAACACCAGAGAAAGGGTGATGCCCGAGGAGCAGTGCCCACTGCCCACTGCCCACTCTGTGAATATAAAGTTTTTCCAATTGATTTATTATTTTACTTATTTAAATTGGACATTTTTTTTTAAAATAAAAGGAAAATTATAAAATTTATAATATTTCAATGAAGGTGAGATTTTTAGAACTTATGATCTTAAACATGTCACGATATTTATGTGGATATAAAAATCTTTTATCTAATTTTCTCAAATTGGACAAAAACACTTAAAAATAACCATAATAAAGTGAGTTTTAAAAAGAATAATACTGAATTGCTTTGGCAAACGCAGTGTTGAAACCTTACGACAACTATAAAATTCATCAAGAGTTTTCTACTCGAGATCAGCGTGTGTAATTAAAGAAGATGACATTATTTATATATGTAATTTAACTACTTAAAGAACGAATGAGAACAAAAATAAAAATAAAAATTTAAACTAAAAGTATATAACTAGAACATTTTATTAAGATAAGAGTTAGAGATGTTGAATTAAAATAAGGCTTAATTTGTCTATCTAAATAAAATATCTAAACAAGTTTAAGAAATTTACGACTGTATGTATTAAACCAAGTAGAAACACTTGCTATCAAAAAGACTTCAGCATAATAGCAAACACGCTGTGGTACCGTACATGAACAAATTTGGTTTCCAATAGATCATGACTATTGACATAAATAAACTTTTTTAGCACTTGTGTACACTTTCATTACTATTATGTGGAAATATTTTTTTTAAAAAAGATGCGGGGATCACGCAAGTATGCCTAGCAAATTCTTCAACTTTCAAGATTCGTCCACTTTAAAGTTTCACAAATAAAAATGTGTATGGGACTAAAAGGGTGTGTTGTGTAATTTTAGGTTGTTTGACTTCATTTTCTTTTGTGTAAATTCTTCCCTCTAATGTGGATTATAAAAAAGAAACTTGAGAAATTTTATGGGTGAAAGTTTCTAACTAGAGAATTTAAGTTATAAACAAAAAATCAATGGAGTTTAGCTCTAAAGCGATTAAATATGTGATTTTCATGTGTTTTAGACCGTAAACGAATTGAAACTTCAAGAAAGTTAAAATTATGATGAAATCACTTGCATTAGTTTTTTTTTTAATTGAGGTAGGTTATAATTAATTGGAGTTAAACTTTACTTAAATTCATGTATACATTTGAGCTAATTGCTTGTTGATTTGTCTTCAAACATATTCAATTTGAAAATATGATATGGGTGGATGCAATTGTGCAAATGTTTTGCATTGAAAGATTATAGGACCCCACAAAAGGATGTTTGTCATGCACAGAAGATATGCAGATGGGTCCAATTTGTAGAATTCAGTTGATAATAAATAGTATATCCTAGGAGTACTCTATAATAGAGTAGCTTAGGGTCAAATTTGTGGGTCAATTAAACTGCAGTTTGCATATTATTTTCCTTTTCATTAATGGCCACGTGGAGTTGAGAAAAGGTTCTAACTAATTTGCTTTCAATTAATTATATTCCCTCTATTTTATATTAATTAAATTTTTGGGGTTTTTTTTTAAAAAAATAATTAAATTATTTAAAGTTTAAATGAATATTTAATTCTTTTAATACATTTATCCCTTTTTTCTATAGAATTTGAATATTTTTTAGGAGATAAATTGCACAGCTTATCAAGTTATATTTATAATTGGTAAAAAAAATAATAGTAGAAATATGATTTAAATTATGTTCTTGAGTTTTTTTCTTAATAAATGCGCATTGCCTCACAAATTCAGTTAATATGAAATTGAGAGAGTAATAAATAATATTATAAATTACAATAATTAACAATTTAAAATATTAATTAATTTTTTTTAATTAACTCACAAAATTTCACTTATGTCATACAAATCCGGACATATGAATAACATATATTATTTTAAAATTACATTAAAAGTATTATAAGTCACAATATTTAACAATTTAAAATATTTTAAAATCGAACAAAAAAATCACTTGACTCTCCTAAATTATACATGTCATATAAATTAAAACAAATAAAATAACCAATAAGCACCGATCTTTATATCTAGTGTAGAGTAGAAATTAAAATGTGCATAGGTAGCCAATATTTTAACAAAAAAAGAAATCACATTTCTTCGGACACAATTTCCATGAAGGTTCCTAAATCTGCATAAATTTCGAGCATAGAGCATATTTCACACCTTCGAAATTAGAGTACAAGTGGTATGTATAAAATGTGTAAGAATAAATTTATATTATGAATTTTAAATTTGCTGCAAATTTAAAAAGGTAAAAACTTATTACATTAGGTGTTTACGTTAAATGATCAATATAAACATGCTATGTATTTGAATAATATAAAATATTCTTTTACTTAGTTATAAATTAAAAATTAATTAACATGTTTGTGACTTTTACCTTGGTGTAATAACATGCCAGTAAATTTTACTTTATAGAAATCTCCAACCATTAATAAAATACCTGCTGTCTGCTGATGCAAATTTAAATAAAATTCAAAGCTGAAGAGTTAATTATATAAATAAAACTAGAGCGAATTGAACAAGAAGGGCAAATTGGTCAAATGACCAACTGACCTAGCTCCTCTGTTGTGTTACAGTAATACACACTATCTTCCTCCCCTAATATTAATTAGGATAAAATTTATGGAATAAGTAATTAATGTTAACGGTAAAATATATATAAAAAAATTGATTGTCTTTTCTTAATATGTTAAAAGTAACAAGTAAAAGTGAAAATATATTTTTGAAATAGCAGACAAATAAAGTGAACGGAGGGTGTATGAACTAAAAATGAAGTAGAACCCACCCCTTGAAAGTGTATTAGGAGTCGTTTGGTAAAGTATACTAAAAAAATGAAAAAGAAAGAAAATAAAAATAGAAGAGGGGTGGGCAGATGGGAGGGAAGTGGTGCGGCTAGTGAGTGAAAAGTAAAAGTGTGCAAATTGATCCACTTATTCAAGTGTCAAAATTTGAATGGAACCTCATATAACTATGGTTGATTGTGGCGGGACGGGGTGGTTGCGGGGTAAACCCGCTAAGATCTCAACCCGCCCCACTCCGCCTCACATAACATATTTTGTTATTTTCAATCCGCTCCGCCCCACCCCACCCCATCCAACTTATTTTGTAAAAAGCATTTCAAATAATAGTCTCAGTAAGTTTTCAACTTAAGAAATTAAAATTTTGTTAGCTGTTACTCGCTAAAATTAACATGTTATAACATATTTTAACATTACAATGTTTTATAACTCTTTTAGATATGTCAGCAACATTTTTTTTGGTAGATTTGAATTGGTTACATTTGATGTAATAACAAAATATTAAATGCAAGTAGTGAGATAATTTTTTCTTCTTTCTAGTTTCTTAGCCATTCAAAACAGTTTACGTAAAGAAATTATTTTAATAAATAATGTTCTATCACTCTTATAACATGTAAGAAGTTAAAATTAAGTTTGAAATCACATATACCCGCAACCCGCCCCGCCCCACATTAATTTTAAAAAAAGCCACTTCAACCCGCCATGCATCCCACCCATCCCGCACAACCTCAAACCCGCCCCGCCCCATTGCCATCCCTGAATATTCGATTTAATTTGCAAACTGTCTCAGCCAAACATAATATCATACCACCAAGTTATCATTGTGTAACCATGAGTTCCTTCTCATTTTTAATTTTCCCAATGTTTCATCTTTTATGATGGTTTTGACTGTTGTGATAAAAGTTTGGTAAGTCTTTCAAAAGATGTTTAAAAAAGCAGTACTACTTATTTGTCCATTGTGATTATGCCTTTTGTCTTGATGCTTTAGTCGTCATTATGAAATTCGAATTCTTAACTTTTTAGCATACATTTAAATTTTATTTTAGGCTCTTTCCAATAATTATAATAAAATTAAATTATTTTTATGATGAAGCAAACTACTGCAGTTAGCTCAATAGTGGATGGGGGATGGATTAATTTGAAAGAAAAAAAACTCAAAGCATAGAAATGAGTCGTGAATGGGTTAAATGAGATGAGTTATTAATGTCTAAGCTCATCACGTGTTCTTCGGTTAAAAATAAGGATAAATTAGTGCAAAATATAATGGAAAGAATATATTTGAATCAAAAGTATAAAGAATGGTATATTTGAATCGAAAATATAACGAGACGTATATTTAAATCATTGTCAATAGTACATGTGTATATTGACACTTCTCCGTATACCTTATCCTACATTTTTGCAAGAGGTCGTTTCTACGACTTAAACCCGTGATCTCTAATTCCTATAGAACCTATCACTAAAATATTTCTAAAGGGGAATAAGGCTATAAGCAGAACAAAAAGGGGTTTCGTTAGATGTTTTCTATGAATGATAAGTATGTACAGTAAGTAAACTGCTTACGGTTCTTCGATCATTTCACAACCAAAGTAATTCTTTTTTGATAAAGGAACACTCATCACTGAAATGGCGAAATATAAAATAAAGAACAACTTCAATTTCAGAGTGAAAAGATCGGATAAAAAAAGGTATTGGACTGTTTTAGCTCTAATTTGATTTGCTTTTCTTCAGTTTATGCATATAATTAGTATAATTCTAGTTTCTATTGCGTTTGTTACATTAGTCTAATTAGTATATGTATTGTATTGATAAATTCGTTGGTGTTTGATGATTTAAACAAATTGGTAAGTATTATGATTGTTATTATTGACAATTGATTTAGGTGTGTATTGATAAACTTTATTATGTGATACATAATAATTTTGTATTCAAATTATTGTGTTCTTTATTATGACAGATACATTAGTTGTGGAAAACTTTAACAATGCTTTTGTTATATGACTTAATGTAATGCAAAATTTTGTACAACTATGTGCTAGTTTGCTTCAGTGATGAATGTGGGTGGACTTTAAGGTCTTCGTGCAGAAAGAAATCTGATGTATTCAAAGTGAGGTACTTTAACAGTGAACATACGTGTCCGATGCGGGATAGGATACTTACAAAAGTACAAGCAACATGTGGATTTATTAGTGGTGTGACTGCCCCCAAGTTGCTTAATCATAAACGAATTCATACGCCGCAAGATGTAATTGAAGATATTCGAGCAATATATGGGGTTGAAATATCATACCAGCAAGCATGGCGTGCTAAGGAACGTGCACTAGGAATGCTAAAGGGTAAACCATCAGATGGATATAAGCAGATGCCGAGATACATATGGATGCTAAATAAAGTGTATCCAAATTCATATATAAGGATGCAAAAGACGGAAAATAATCAATTCATGTATCTTTTCATAGCACTAAGGCCATTGATAAGAGGGTTCGACTATTGCAGACCAGTAGTTATAGTGGATGCTGCACCTCTTGGCGGGGCTTACAAAGGTACTTTTGTATCAGCGAGCACACTCGATGGTGCAGGTATGACTATTGTATCAGCAAGCATGGCATGCTAAGGAACGTGCACTGAAAATGCTAAAGGGTAAACCATCAGAAGGATATAAGCAGATGCCGAGATACATATGAATGCTAAATAATGTGTATCCAAATTCATATATAAGGATGCAAAAGACGGAAAATAATCAATTCATGTATCTTTTCATAGCACTAAGGCCATTGATAAGAGGGTTCGACTATTGCAGACCAGTAGTTGTACTGGATGCTGCACATCTTGGCGGGGCTTACAAAGGTACTTTTGTATCAGGGAGCACACTCGATGGTGCATGTATGACTATTGTAATATTGATGTAATTTTGAACTTTGTTTCAATGTATAATCAATGTATCTTAGTGTAACAGTTATGTATCATATAGTTAAATGTGTGTTGCTTTGTAAATAGGTTGCATATTGCCGCACTGAAAATGACTGTTCGTGGACATGGTTCTTCGAACAATTCAAAAATGTATTTGGCGAGCGTGAAAACATGTGTATTGTATCAGATAGAAATGAAAGTATTATGAAGAGTGTAAGCATTGTGTTCCGAAATGTACCTCATTGTGCATGCATATGGCATCTTTGGAAGAATGTATGTTCAAACTTTAAAAGGAGTAAAAACACACTAAGTGATATATTTTACTCAATGGCAATTGATTACAAAAATGAAGATTTTGATAAATTAATGGCTAAGGTGGTGAAAGTTGATCATAGGGTGAAGGATTACCTTGAGGATGCTGGGTATGAGAAGTGGTCAAGAGTTCATTCAATAGTAAACAGAAGTAGAATGATGACTTCAAACATCGCAGAGTGTATCAATGGCTGCCTTGTTGATGCACGTCGGTTAACTATAATAGACTTCTTGGAGGAAGCTAGACTTCTATTTATTAGTTGAAACTGTAAAAATAGAAAAATAGCGTTATATACAAAGGACACATTGGGCCGAAGATTTGAGGAGGTATTGATTGTAAACGCATCTAAAAGTTCAAAGATGAAGGTATTTATCAATATTCCTATCTTTCTATTTGATATATCAGAAGCTCTGATGATTTCACTGATTTGCATTGTTTGAGAAATGATATGTAAATGTCATATTATGTAATGTATCAGTAACTTCTAATTAATTTTAGGTTGTTCCATTGTCTGAATATATTTTTTCAGTTTATGAAGCCGGAAGAAGATACATTGTATGGCTTGAGCGGAAAATATGTACGTGTGGAAGATTTCAACATGATGAGATACCTTGCGAACACGCAATTACAGTTTTGAAGCACAAGAATGTTACAGATATGCATCCATATTGCTCTGATTACTACAAGTCGGATGCATTAGAAAAAATCTACGAGGTTGCAATGGTTCTAATGCTAGATAAGGAGGATTGGACCGTTCCAGACTATGTTTTAGATGAAATTGTCTTGCCACCTAGGTACAGAAGGTTGGCTGGACGACCAAGGAATCGAAGAAAGAAAAACGCGGATGAGAAGATAACAGTGAACAAGAATTCTTTTGGGCAATGTGGACAAGAAGGTCATAACTGGAGGACTTGTACTTTCTTTCCGAAAGAGAATTGAAATAATGTTTTAAAATAGGATATTTGTGTTCGTGGTTAATGAATTTCAATTATATGTATTTTTTGCTTTAGTATTTGGATTAAATAAAGTGTATTGTTTAAATAATTTATTTTGTTGTCCAACTAAATGCATTTGTTTATAATAGTGTGTCAATCTTATATTAAATGTTATGCCGTAATTTTACTAAACTTTAGAAAAATCACTTTTTTGAAATGTTCTAAGTATAAAACAATTTAAGAAAAATACTTAGAAAAGAGTCGCCACTTAATTTTTTAAAGAAATTAAGAAAACTTATAATTTTCAAAGATTTAAACAGAAAAAAAAATCATTTGAAAATATCAAAGAGGGTTCGGGGTTCAATTTACACTTCGAGAAGGGTTTAAGCATTCGAAGTGCCCGCTAACATGCGGTTGACCTGCGACTTGACTAAAAATATATATTTTGACTAATTCTTTGGGAAAATGATTTAACATAAAAAATAATAATAATTTATAATATTTGATTAACTTTGAGAAAATAATTAAATAAATGACACATTTTATTTTTATTTTTTAGAGAAAGGGAATCAAAATGAAACATTTGACTCGAAATACAAGTGATTATAATATTAATAAAACTAGATTAATTAAAATTTATTTAATTCATTATTGTTTTTGAAACAATAATTTAAACCCATTTAATAAATTAAAGCATGAATATCATTTTGAATCAATAAACTAAACTTTTTGAGAAAAATTGACAGAGTAAAAGAAAGCCATTTTTTTTTAAGGTTTATTGAAGAAAAATACTTAACTAAAAATACTTTTAGAATGATGCAAAAATGTGTGAAGAAACGTTAAAGAGCACATTTTTCATGAACAAACGATTCAACTTAATTGAGGATGTAAAATTTGACCTATATTTAGTTAAAAAATAAATTACCTCAACACACAAAAAAAGAAAAGAAAAGAAGAAGTATTCAAAGCAAACCAACACAAAGAAAATAACTCGTCTTTTGGGAATCTAATTAAGTTAATTAATAATTATAAAGTTAGTGTTAAACAACGAAAAATAAATAATCACAATTAAATAATTAAAGAGTAAGGGAGAAATTGAATTTGGGCCCTTCTTGGGTCAAATTCGTTGTTATTTTTGGGTTTAACCCAATTCCCGGTTTTGTATATATCTGTCGTATATCAGTGTATATCGGCGTGTATATCAGCTCTTTTCATGTATCTCTTGCTTGCGAACACCTGTATTTCCCCTTATCTCTGTATTTTTCACGTTTTTGAGCTGTATATCGCCGTATGATGATGTATACTGCTGTATACAATGTGTATACGGTCCATTTCTGGGGCTTTTGAATTGATTTCCGGCAACATGTTGGGTCTGTGGGGCCTGTGACGGCTTTCGAATTTGCTATAGGGCTGACTCGAGAGGAAAACAAAGATTCAAGGAGCCTTTATGACCCATCCGAAGTGCAAGGAGGAGAAGGGTCCATCATAGACTCAAAGCATACTCATATGCATCAGAAAGAAAGACATATAAGTAAGGGTCATAACAATTCGACTAAAAAATACAAGGATAGTGGCAACACACCATTGTTGTCATCAGCTTCATTACCACATAACTCAATTATTTTAAACAATATCAAATGAAGTATATTAATCTCAAACATAGTAAATAAACTTGAAGTTAGACCAATACAATTATTCTAACAAAAAAATGCAAATTTATATCAATGAACTAATATTGCCACTGGAGAAAAACCAACGGGACTAGGCCAAAAGAAATAAAATAAACAAATCCCCTAGACATAGTAACCACCAACACTAGATTTTAACACAAAAGCATTGGAATAGGTATTTTTTGCGATCTTCCGGTAGCAACAAATGTAAACACAGAAGTCAAGAAATAACCAAAACCTCAAAAGATAGGCAGTGATAAATCGGTGCTAACATAGAACAAAACAATGCTTATAACAAACTACCTCTCTAACATATAATAGTTCCGCAATAGTTGAAAAAAGAAGAAGATCATTACCGAATAAAATAAAATTTAAACGACTTCGGATCAAATAAGATAGCTACTACCAACTGGCTATTTAATCACATTAGCACAAAAGTTGAAACAATGTGAAACAACTACAGTTGAATCCTGAAATTCCATATGAACAGATTAACAAGAATCAAGGGCTAAAACCGAAACTAGGGTGTATTAGGTAAGCTATAAACATAAATAAAAGAAGCTAAAAAAAAAAAAAAAAAAAAAAAGCATAGGCAAAACGGATTCTACAAAAACAGGCAACAAACAAACAAAAATAAGAATTTGTTACTGCAATCTAACAACAAATACAGAATACAACACTCTTATAACTCGACAAACATGAAACAATGATGAGGGGGGTTGGAGGCTAGGTTCAATCTAAACGAATAAAAATTAGCAAGTGCTCTCTTTAAAAGCGAAAGAGAAGCAAAATGATCCATCTAATTTTAACACACACGAGAGTAGTATAGCTACATTGATTATAGCATTTAAAAAACGAGCAAACTCATATGCTAAAGACCCATAGTTTAACGGAGTGCTCAATAAGCAGCCACCAGATACTAAAGATATCATCAATGTGCTTTCTTATCCAAATTATACACCATTTATTAACTCAAAGCTGATTAGATTAATGCCAAAAGAAGCTCAAAGTTGAAATAGTTGTAATAAAAAGATATTTTAAAATGACTTAATGCTACAGAAGATAACTCAAATAATTACAAATTTGAATAAACTACAAATCTGGAGGAACAACTTAAACAAGAGAACATAATCATATCGTAATTAAATATAGGGATATTCAATCATTTTCACATAGATTTAATGCATATGCAAGTCATCTGGACAGCTACATACCAACAATATCAAGGACATAATCGCTGAAACAAAACAGCCATATATGTAACCCATTTACAATAACACTATATAAGCAATCAACGCCTAGAATAGCAATGTTAGGACTGGCCGGCAACAAATAGAAATCCAAAGTGTCAAAACTTCAAAATAAGTAGTCAAGTTCAAAGATAAGCACTTTTACTATTTTTAAGCTACTGGAAACATACTTAAACAGTTGACACCAAACACGATTTCATTGAACAAGACATAATTAAACGCCAACATAAATGCTAAAATAAAGAGGAGATTACCTCTTTTGGAGCAGCGAACTAGGACGACGAGGAGAGCGATTCCACCACTCTCTTTGAATACTAAAGGCAAGCCAAGAAAATCCGAGCGGCGATCTTTTCGGAACTTAGAATCAAAAGACTAAAAAATTTTAAGTGTAGAAGTGACTATTGCTTCAAAACCAAACTCAAACCGTGTCCTCATCACTGAGAGTAGGGGGGGTTATTTATAGGGGAAGTTGGGACGATTTAGGGGGGAAATCCGGATGAAATTTCCCATTTTCAAATTCGGACTCCTCTGCCCCTTTTCAAGATAACAGTAGAAATTTTTGAAAATCCCTTAAAATGGGGGAAAGGAGACGTGAAGGTGATGGGTCTGCAGGGATGGGTTCTTGCAGGGTAGGAGACGCGATTTCCGGGTTGATTTAGCGTGAAGAAGACGAAGGCAAGCATGGGGTGGGGTATTGTTGGTATGTTATTGCGGCTGTTGGGAAAAGAAGAAGTGAAGATGGGTCGGTTGATTGTGGGTGTTGCTGGAAAAGGGGTATTGAATTGGAATTATTATGAGTTGTTGTTTGGAATGGGCTGGAATTATTTGTTGTATAGGGAATTAGAATTGGGCCTTTAGGAAGTGGCCCAAAATTGTTTTTTTTTTAAAAGATGGGATAGGCAATTGACTAAAAATTGTTATTAAATAAAGGATTTCAATTATAGCCTAATAGAATTTAATTGGTGAATTCGGCTAAAATTTAAACAAGATGAGTTAATATAAATTAATTAATGAGCTTCTTAATCTTAACGAAATAAAAATAAAACAAATAATTGACTTAATTCTAAACTAACTAATTCAATTACAAAACTAATTAACTCGAAATTATAACCATAACTTAAAGTAAATTAATAAAATATTTAACTAAAATGCAAGATCTTTTGTGATGATTTTCAAATATTTATAAAACAACGTGATTGCAAAAATATACATATTTATTATTAAAAAATGATAAAATTACTTTAAAAATAGTTTGAAAGTATTTTTGAATTTCATAAAACTCATTAATTCAAAATTATAACCACCCCTAATATTTAAAATATAAAATCTTTTTTGAGATGATTTTCGAATAATCATAAAATATACTAATTATATACATAATTATGTAAAACATATATATCATCTAAAAATTATGGAAAGTGACAAAACTATTTAAAAAATCTTGCAAACTTTATTATTTTTTGGAAATTTTATAAAACTAATTATTTTAAATCGTTTGAAATTGGAGAAGCTCGAAATGATTAATTTATATTGTGGAGGGTCAAAATTGGGTGTCAACATTAAATATAAAATTATTCTTCTACTGAATGTATAAATTGTGAAAAATAATTATTGTGTAAATGAATGAAATATTGATTCAATACCATGATAATGATTTAAACAAAATTAAGTGTCCCAAAATTTACTTTTGCAAACGTGTAGTATATGTATCATATACACCACATTATGTTGTATCATATACACTGAAGACTATTAATGAAGCACACATTAAAACTCTTAAAATTGTATTTGATACAGTTATAATTTTGATATATTTTACCTTAGCAGTGTTGCAGTTCAATTTAAAAGTTTGTTGTGTTATGTTTGTTGATTTACATGATGTATCATATACATTCGTATAATTCAAGTGGCTTATACCTAAATGTACTTGGTATATGCGAATAACATTCATGCATAATATACATTACGACTTATGTATTATATACATCATTTCGTAAGTAAAATATCAGATTACTTAAAGTCAAACAGTGATGATTGTGGGGCTTAACGTAATAAAGCAACAAATGTATATACGATTAGCCTTA